TTTTCCAGTTACAATTATTATCAATAGTAATACCAAGAAACTTATAATAACCAACTTCTTGTACCACTTTTTAAATTAAAACTAAAACTAAAGTAACTAAATTAAAACAGAAAACATCAGATAATTTTTGTGGAAATTCACTGTATCATTAACCAGGAATCACTTTCATCCAAACATTCAAAAATGAACCACGTCATGTAGCCCGTCGTTTAATTATAAACATTGTAAGGAGTAGAGGACTAATTACAGAGAGTTAGGGCAATTTTTACAAGATTTGTATGAAAATTATTCAGATTTACCTTATTTTACGGAAGTTCTTTGGCTCCTTTCAAGCTTTCATGTCAGAAAAAGACAAGCTAATGGATTATGACAAAATAGAATAGAATAGAAAAGAATATTTTTATTCAATATACATTACATGTGTAATTCTTATTGAAAGTCATTTTTTACTTTACCACTGGTTCGAAAAAAACCCTCTGTCCTGGGAAGAATCAGCAAGAAACCCAGCGGGACAATGGCTGGTGGGTTGATTGTGCTTTTTTGGTAGACATTACTAAACATATGAATGACCTGAATGCAAAAAGTTTCAGGGGCAGGTTTTGAGCGTCACTCAAATGTATTCGCATATTAAGGCGTTCGAAACAAAATTATGACTATGGGAAAATCAGATAAAAACCAAACACTCGATCATTTCCCTCATTTAAGATCATTTGGCAACGTGAACCGGAATAAATTGGATGTGTATTCTCTACTTTTGCTGAATCTATCCACAGAATTTAACCGTCGTTTTCTAGATTTTCGGCCAGATAAACGAAATGGAATTTCCCATTTTAACAATCCATTCACTTTTGAAGTTACAAAGGCACTAATTTATTTGCAAATAGAATTAATAGATTTCCAATGTGACAGTATTATAAAGGATAAACATAAGGATGTAAATGTTAGTAAATTTTATAAACAGTATAAAAAGTTTGAATAAACATCGAAATAAAAAAATAATGCAGCATGTATTAATGCAGCCTATTAACGCTGGTGTTCTACAAGGCTGTGTGCTATCACCAACGCTATTTCTTCTGCATATCAATGATATGTTGCTAACTGGTAACATTCATTGCTATGCGGATGACAGCACTGGTGATGCTCTATACACCGGCCGTGCCAATATTTCTCGGGAAAACGTCGCTGAGTACCGGAACAAACTTGTGTCTGAAGTCGAGTCTTTGCTGAGCAAAGTCTCGGATTGGGGGCGACTAAATCTAGTCCAGTTTAATCCTCAGAAGACACAAGTTTGCGCGTTTACCACTAAAAAGAACCCCTTTGTCGTATCTCCTCAGTTTCAAGGCACTACCCTTCTTGCCTCAGCCAGTATCGGTATCCTCGGAGTGACGTGCAGTTTCGTGGTCACTTGGAAGGGAAGGCCAAATTGGCCTCTAAAAAGCTTGGCGTGCTCAGCAGAGCGGGACAGTATTTCATGCCGGCACACCGCCTGCAACTTTACAAGGCGCAAGTTAGGCCTCACATGAAATACTGTTCCCATCTCTGGGCAGGGGCTCCCCAGTGCCAGCTCCTTCCACTTGACCGCATCCAACGCAGAGCTGCGCGAATCGTCGACGACCGAGCCCTTTCCGATCGGTTCGATTCATTGGCACTGCGAAGAGATGTTGCATCCCTTTGCATTTTCTTTCGCATCTACCATGGGAAGTGCTCTGAGGAATTGTTCGGATTAATCCCAACCGCCAAATTTCACGAACGCACATCGCGGCAGAACTCCCGATACCATCCACACCATCTGGATGATTGGCGGTCCACCACTGTGCGATTTAGAAGATGTTTTCTTCCTCGCACGACCTCCTTGTGGAATCGATTACCATCAGCGATTTTTCCGGACCGATACGACTTAGGGACCTTCAAGAAAAGAGCGTACTCCTTTTTAAAAGGCCGGCAACGCATCTGCGGTTCCCCTGGTGTTGCAGTTGTTCATGGGCGGCGGTAGTCACTTACCATCAGGTGAGCCGCATGCTCGTTTGCCCCCTCTCCTATAAAAAAAAATGTATTCTGTGTATGTTTGGTAGTACCTATTTGTGCGAGCAGATGTTGTCCGTTATAAAAATAATTAAGAACAAACATCGCTCAAGGCTTTCTGAAGAACATCTCCAATCTATACTGAAAAATAACTACCTCAAATATGACCCCTGGCATCAAAGACCTTATCAAAAACAAAAGACCTCAGGTGTCAGAATCCTCAAACTCAACTTAATTCAGCCTTTTTAAAACCTTTATAATATGATTGAAGGTTAATAAATAAACATTTTAATTCAGTATGTGTATTAGTTTTTAATTTTTATTCTGGCGCGCTATCAAACCCTATAATTTATAATTGGCCCTTATGAAAAATGAGTTTGACACCCCTGCCTTATAGGATCACTTGTTGTCGATCTGTCTGTCTGTCTGTCTGTGAAGACCCTTTTTCTCAGGAACGCGTGCAGGTATCAAGCTGAAATTCATATCAAATACTAAAGTCTACTGTCCCTTAGAGCTGTGAAAAAATCAAACTTCTTAGCCAACGCAATCAAAAGATACAGCCGTTTATGCCGTAAATTTTCGACATTTACGACATAAACGTAAATGTTATGCATAAAAAAAAAATTTCGACATTTGCAAGGGAATCAAAACCTACAGGGTACTTCCCGTGAACTCAGAATCTTGAAATTTGGTACGAAGCAACGTTTTATAGCACAGATAAAGGAAAAATTGCGAAAAGCATAAATTTTTAGTTACATCATATTATAATAAAAATATTTTTAATAATTTTAAACTTATATACCTGCAGATCTGTTCGGAACCCTCGGTGCGCGAGTCCGACTCGCACTTTTCCGGTTTTTTAACTGTTTTTTTTTTTATTTTTCTACTTTTATGAATATCTGTGGTTTTGTTTATTTATTTTTAATGTTATAAATATAAAAATATAGCTAATAGTAGAGAAAGAAACAATAACTTGTACATTTTCCGAACAAATTTACTTCCCCGCTATGAAATCTGTCAAATATTATACCTCACTGTCTAGTGCCGCCGCCCTGGTGGCAGAATAAGAAATGGATGCCCTCATTGGGAGATGGTTTTTACATGGCCGCCAAACATCAATAACCTAGTACTAAACCTAATATTATGCTTCTCATACAAAACTAAAGTAATAATAATTTACTCATAACGGTTTGCAGCATCAATGAATTCGGAATGACTGAGCTGCTCAAAATCCTGATGTGATAGTAGGTAGCGATAGTCCTTTAGCTTGTTATTTATTCTGTGCTTTAGCTTTTTAAAATTACTATAAGATCCGATCTACGCAGAAAGGGCTTACTCAGTTTTATTCAATGTGTAGTATTCTCATAAATATAAGAAATCATTATATTATATTTTATTCCTCGTCACTAAACAATAAGCACTATATAGTATATCAATACTATTATATATTTTAGCAGACTTCAAAAAAGGAGTACCTAACTCAATTCGACTGAAGGACCAACTATTTTTGTATGTATGTTACGCGATAACTTCGTCAATTACGAACGGTTTTTAATGATTCTCTTTTAATAGGTTATAAGTACTTCAGGGATGGTCCCACAAAAAAACTAAAAACTTGCACACCGAGAGGTGAAAAAAGAAAAGATAAAGTTTTGAATGTAGATATTAAAGAAAGAGCTTATGATAGATATTCCGTAGTCCACTCAAGAAGGTACCAAAAATTATAATTTGAATAAAAAGTAAAATCATAAGTACTTCACAGAACTTTAAAAGAATATGATAATTTCCACACAATAGCTTCTGAAGTTGTGACTTTAATACTTCTATATACTACGTCTAAGCACCGACTTCTGAAGCAATTATTTATGTGGAAATTATTTTCTACTAAGAAGTTGACTTTTAAGTACTTATTACTAGCTCTCCCTCGCAACTTCGCCCGCGTGGAATATACTACGATTTCATGGTTTTTAATTTTTTTGCGTGGAACCATTGAGTTATATATACTACGTACTAGAGAAGCCATTCAGAACATTGACTATGTTGATATATGAATACTGATTTGTATAGTTGATATATGAATTGAATATGTATACTGAACTGTAGTGCAATCCATACAAACTAAATATTGCGTAAATTGAAGATTTGTAAATTCCATAAAATAATTATTATTACATTTTATTTAGAAATATGTTTGTTTAGATTAAATTAAGATATTTTATATTAAATTCTTATATTTATTTTATATTAAATTAAAGTCTTCGCGCATGCGCGACTACTACTCCAGCGCATGCGCGACGACATGGACACAATTTTTGTTTGGAATGGCTTCTCTAGTACGTAGTACATATAACTCAATGCGTGGAACACAATTCTTTTTCTAAAATAAAAGTATCCTTAGTTACTCCTTATAACATCAGCTATCTATCAGTGAAAGTCCCGTCAAAATCGGTCCAGCCGTTTTGGAGATTAGCCGGAAGAAACAGACAAACAAAATTAAAAATTGTTTTTTTTTATTAGTACCGTATATGCTTTCATATTATGCGTTTTGTAAAAAGCTGTTATTTTAACATTACAAACAGACACTTCAATTTTATTTATTTGTATAGATATAGATTAAATGACAATTTTTTTCCTTATACAAAGTTGGCAGCACTGGACGGATGTTTTGTTACACAGATGACCTTTCTATTAGATCACAATCATATTCCCGGGTGTCGGGTATTCTCCAGTAATCGAAACGATTAAACTAATTCCTATCATTTATAATTAAGATAAAGTAATACGCTGTTTACGAGCCAATCATTGAAATGATGAAAAAACATAAATAAGGTCGAGAGCTCGTGTCACGGTGACTACGTACGTTATACACAGCTGTGATTGAATTTATTACATGCGTTTAGTTATAAATCATATTTGTTATGCTCTGGATTTAAAAAAGATTAGTAATTTAGTATAAAAATAGCTCTACAACGGTGAAAATGGCAGACAGAAAATTCAAGTGAGTAATTTGTTTTTTTTTTAATTATTTATTAGGCAACAGTTCGCAAATGTTTTGTTTTTATTTTTAATTTTTAAATGGATTTTCATAAATGACACCAGCCTTTCTGATGTAAATCACGCATACCTTTATAATGAATAACGCCTTTATTAACCTAATGTGGACATTTAGGACAGTGAGACTAATCTTTATATTTTATTCAATAAATAAATTTATTATTATTATTATATTATATATAAAAATCAATGGCGGTCCTTTAGTCTCGCTAAAACTCAAAAACGGCTTGATGATTTTTTGTGTGTGTTTGAATGGGTCCCGAGATGGTTTTAGACATTATGGACATTTGGATCCAGTAGGTGGCGCTGTTGTCGAGATCTAAAAACCACCCGTGCGAAGGCGGATCACTTGTGAAAAATAAAATATGACAACAATTTACTCATGTATATTTTCTTCATGAAACAGTAAAAGTCCACATCGGGGCATGGGCCTTTCCTGTTGTAGGCAATATAGTCTTCTTCTTCTTCTTTTAAATTATGGCTTCTCTTGATAGAATTGGCAGTATAGTTGGCAAGCGGATTGAAGATGTCAGTACCAGACGCTTAACACGTTTGGCAGTGCTGCCCGTCGAGATATTATAACCATATTAATTTCAGGTAAATAGCGGTGTAATCATCTCCATTTATCTGAAGATCTTTCTAGTATTTCCCCAGTTGCCTCTTATGACACCATAGTTTTTCTGTATATTTTCCCCAACCTGTTTATTCGACCTTTATTCGTAACTAAACCTTTAATATTATAAACTTGTAATTAGTTCCAATGACACACGTATATTGTATTTGTCTACCGACTTCAATAAGGAGCCGGTATTCAATTCGACTGTATGTTTTTTTATGTGTGTTACCGCATAACTTTTTACTGAGTGCAGGCAGACACAGATTTCGATGATTATTTTTTTTATTTGAAAGCTGATGCTTCACATGTGGTCCCATATAAATTTGATCAAGATCTGACCAATAGTTTTGAGTTATTCTTAATAATTTATATTGAAGTCAGTTGTACAAAATTTTTAATTTTAAATTGTTTTATTATTGAGACTTAAAGTAGCTGCTTGAATAATTATAATCTGTATTTCATGGGTGATGGTGTTGGATTTATAATTAGTAAAGCAGTTTTATGTTTAGATTTATCTACTTTATAATTATTATAATTATATATTAATATATCTTTCTGTTGCTCTAAAGACAAATAAATAAATAGTACGGAATGAGGTGAAGGATTCTGCTACGTGATTATGAAGAAAGCCAAATCAAGAGTAACGTCCATCAATTAATGAACATGTATCCTAATGTCATTAAACACATCAACAGAATCTAGGGATTTTATATTTCATCAAATATCTAAAAATCTATGAAGAATTTTTGATATAGTAAATACAAGAATGATAGGTTATTTGATAGTTTTTTATTACAGCGTAAAATAGCAGCTTAAAACTGCTGTGTTTCGTATGGTGAGTGTAGAGAACCGGAGACTCTTTTTACTGGAAAAGAGGCATTCCATCTTAGTCCTCACGGGTGACAACGCATCTGCATTTTGATTCGCAAATGAGGATAGATGTAGATGTCTATGGGCCACAGCAACCACTTACCATCAGGTGGACTGTGTGCTCGTTTGTCACCCTATCCTATAAAAAAATGAGGTCCCATGTTCTTTGCAAGTGTTCGTAAAGTTGTTGCTCCGTCGTGAAATTTGGCGGGAAATCTCTCAAAGTGTTTCGTTGTGACTTGGCTCAACTCAGGCATACTCGGTAGGATTTAAGTCGGGCGACTGTGCAGGCCAATCCAAAACTTGAATATAGTGGTCACGGAGAGCGGACGGCACCAGCCGCGCTGTATGGGAAAGAGCATTACCGTGCATGAGTAGAAACTCTTGGCCCATTTGGATTCTGTGTGGGACATTAACAGGCTCTACTACCTCCTCTTGGTATTTTTGTGCAGTTATACTGCATTGGATCCAAACGAGCTGGGTTCGTCCGCCGAGACGAATTCCCGCCCACACCATGATTGTCCCGTCCCGCCTTGGTATGAGTGGAGCTCCTGAGGGTGCCGTAGACGGCTAACTCTCCCTGGAGTTCTTCAAAGGCGTTTTCTTCGTGAATCCGGATGAAACCCAAACTGGAACTCATCGGTGAACAGCACCAAAGACCATTGTTCGTCACTTCATGGAAGATGCTCCCGAGCCCACGAAAGCCGCCGACCGCGATTGCCCCGTCGCAATGTTGGAACACGTAGCGGTCTTTGACCATGAAGAGCAACTTCATGCAACCTCTTTCGCACGGTTTAGTTGCTTTCCAGCAGCTGGTGGTCCTCATGGAGCCTTTGTAGTTGGTACATCTATGTTATATTGGATTGTCTTCTGACGGTCATTTGTAGAAATCGATCCTGTCTCTGCATAGTAAAACGACATCTACCCGTGTGCCGTTCAGACACATCCCCAGTACTGCGGTAACGTGACCATAACCTTGATATCACGTTTTGGCTGGTAGGGCCTCAGCAACGACGCGTTAAATAGCACCATTTTGTAACATGCCAGCTGCTCTTAACATTTCATCTCGACTCAAATGACAACATGACATGATAATTAATAGAATCAGGCGTTACTTTGCGGAATTATATTAAAGTTGGTAAAAAATTACTTCGCGCACATCCGCCTGATAAAATAAAATGATCTGTCTTACTTAGTTTGAAGAGCACCTCCCGCCCTCCCTCAATTGCGTGCACTATCACCGTCACCACTAATCCCAGCACCACTCCTCCCAACGCCACTACACTGGGAAAGACACCACCGACGACAATACGACACGAGTTTCGCCTCTACACGAGGCACCTTCAGGTGGTCTAGACTGCGGTGGCTGACCGCTACGGTCAGGCACCGCAGTCACAAACACGTGTCGTATTGTCGTCAGTGGTGTGTCTTTCCTAGTGTCGTGGTGTTGAGAGTAGTGGTACTGGGATTAGTGGTGACGGTGATAGTGCACGCAATCGAGGAAGGGCCCACCCTTCCTGCTCTTGTGGTGCTCTTCAAACTAGGTAAGACACATCATTTTATTTTATCGAGCGGATGTGCGCGCGAAGTAATATTTTACCAACTTTGACGTGACATGATTTAAGAGTCAGAGCGAGAGCTCACACGGCACACATTAAATTAAAAAAGAAAAACAATCTAATCCCTTTTCATTAATTAATATCAGTAGAACAATTTGAATTTTCCTTGACGTAACGAACTACTAACAATTTTGCCACAGTATTTTGTATTTCTTTTGTTTTTTTTTTATTTACATTATAAATTTTGAAAATAGAATAAAAGAGGTTTCAACCTGCATTTAAACTTTTTATGGAAACTAAAAAGATTTTAAACCATAAAGTCGTAAATAATTTAGGATTAAGGTATCCCTAGATTCTGATGATGTGGTGTATTTTTTTATATTCTGTTGATGTTATTTTAAACAGAATAAGGGTGACAAACAGACATCTCTGACATACTGTGATCCATATACATTTACATATATCCTCGATTAAGAATCAAAATGCAGATGCGTTGTCACCCGTGAGAACTAAGATGGAATGTCTCGTTATCAGTAGAAAGGGTCTCCGGTTCTCTACACTCACCATACGAAATAGAGCAGTATTTTACGCTGGTATTCTGTGAGAGCGTGTGCCTTCCCCGATCGAGACGACCCATTCGTGCTACAACAATAATATAGTTGCATCATGGCTACCCCTCTGGATGACGGACGTGATAGTTTATGTATTAAGTACTTAGAAAAAATATTACTAATTAAATACTAAATACTAATTGTATGCACATTTGTCGTATTTTTTTATAAAATGATAACGAAGCGAGCACACCTTCCAGCAGATAATAGTTCCTACACACCACGCAATAGGCAGACACCCATAGCCAGCCTCGATTATAAACATAATGCAGGTGCGTTGCCACTTGCCACCTCTGTGGACTAAACTGATCTATCATCAGTAAAAAGGATCTCGGGTACTCTCACTTACCATACGAAGTACAGCAGCATTCTATTGCTATTTAAAAGCGCGTAGCTACCCCGATGGAGCCACCTATTTATGCTGCAACATGCACTGTTTTAATATAATTTTTTGTTACAGAACAAAAATGAAAATCATTTTTCTATTGTCAACATTATCCGGTGCATTGCCAGTCAGAAGACGCCCGCACTGCCACGCCTGCTTTAACGGAATGTGTCACAGTCGCTCCACTGTATTCACTGCTCATAAATTTTCCGGCCAGCTCGCCGTCGACCGAACTGCCAACATTCTCTACTTTCACTATCAAACAAACCGTTCGATAGACCACACTGGATCTTTCGATTTGAATGATATCAAATTCAAAGTTCTCCCGAAAATCGGTTTTACTTTCGGCCGGGCCGTCGACCAATCTACAAGAGAGGTTTTCATGTCGGGAACCGTCGGCATCCACAAGTATAACCCAAAAACGAACACGGTAAAATCAATTGGCTTAACAGACAAAACCATTTGGCATTTGCAGTACAAAGATAAAATTTACTATTCGGAATTTAAATCGAAAGGTATTTTTACGTACGAAAAGAATAAAATAAAAAGTATTAAGGCGCTATCTAATTTCCACGTCGATGATTTTGTTATTGATAAACAGAACGATATATACTTTTTGAGTGATTCGATGATTTATAGGCTGAAGAATGGCACCAAAACCGCAGATTTTTTTATAGACGAAATATTCTCACTCGCCACCGACAAAAAAGGCGATGTGCACTTCATTCAACCAGGTAGTAGAACTGTTTATATACTGGACTACAGTAAAGATAGTTTGACTGAATTAGGTGCAATTGGAAAGGGCACGCCATTTAGCGTTGTTTTTGACGCCGACAACAATATGATATACCATGATGTAGACGATGAAAAGTTGTATTATTTGATGCCAAACTACAGTTTGTGTACAGTTACGACGAGAGGAAAAGGAAAAAATGTCAAAAAGTTCGTTTCGATGAGAAATGAATAACTACAACACAGTACCATTCATTTCCCGAATAGTGGCGCATAAAATCCTCTATCCCGTCATCCCGTGGGTGATGTAAGCGGCAAAAAGTGAAGACTATAACAGAAAATGCGCAGCAACATTTTCCTGATAACTTAATAATAACTTATGATGACTTATGGTGGGTTGTTTTGAATAAATAAATGCAATTTTTTTATCGACAGGGTTATTTTTCAGAGATATTTTTGAAATGATATACTGTTATCCAGGTCCAGTTTTTGAAAATACGAGTAAATAACGCTTCTACTTTTATTTGAAATTATCCCAGATTGAATATGATAACGCTCCTCTGTGTACGATTCAATTCAAAACATTTTCGCCGACCGATCGACCCTTATGAATGTATGCGTGCATAGTTCATAGATATTTATGAATGACAATCAGTTAAAATAATGCATTACCACGCATTTTTAATTTAAAAGATAAAAAGGACAAAATGTGTGACTGATTGATTTGATTTTAATTTTTTTTTCAACATTTGCTATATTACTCCATTGCTTTCTCTACAAATTTCGCCGGTTATAGCAAGATAACCCTGTATGTCGTATGTTCGCGCCCAAACGTGCCAGAGGGCGCTCGGCTCGGCACCATACCGGTTTTGACGTTCGGACGAGTGGAGTGGGTTTGGCAGAGGGCGCGAGCGCAGAACGTGAGTGCAACGGAGTTGCTAGAATGTAGTGCTGTCGATAGCACGTCGTGAGGTCGCCCGGGATTACCTTCAATTTTTTAGTCGGTTTTGTTAGCAAATTGATGCAACGACGAGGTTTTTGTAAAGTCTAGACAAATAGACGCCGGTTTGATTAATTATTTGGAATTAATATTGATTGCGACCAACGTCCGGTTTTTTGATGCGTGTGGAATTTACTCTTGCAGTTTTTAGCTTCTAGTTGCTTATCCTTAGTGCGTTCACGCGATGACGAAACAGTAATAATTTGATGGATTAACCTAAATTCGTTGGCAAGTAATTTACGTAACTTAGTGATTGTCGGTTGAACGCTGAACTTTGTGAATCGTGAAGAGATCGAGTTAGTTCCCTATTTGTAATTTGGTGATAAATGAACCCGGAATATTGAATGTTGAACTTTGAACTACTGTCCGTTACACGAGTCGATTATCACGTGTTTGATTCTCCGATGAACGTTGAATTAGTTGCGTTTTGAAGTTAGTTAAATGTACAATAAATTTGATAGACTGCAATAGTGACGTGAAGAAAGAAATTGACCGTGGGTGACGCCGCTGGAGATTACCACAATCTGGAGCGGTGCCGGAGTCGGGGTTGCTGCCGACTTCAACGATCCAGTCAGGTCAACCACAATCCACACCACTAAAAACACCACTACACATTCACCTACACACCATCGGCCTGACCGAACCTTCGGGACAGTCTTCGCCTCAACCCAGGTACGTACTATTTATTTGACTAGCCTTCTCCCTATAGTGTAGTAGGATAGGATAAGTTTCCATATGACCATTTGGGCCCGACCCTAGGCTGCCCATTGAATCTTCCGCTCATGGGCCCCGGGATATTTGACCCTTGTAGGGGCAGCTGTGGGCCGTAACATCGTAATTAACCGTGTAGTGATGGTGCAAGAATATCCACTACCCCATATCATGGGGTGCGTTGTAAGAGGCGACAGAGGGAAACTAAACCAGGAGATAGGCAGCAGCATCTTTCTGATAACAGCTGAATAAAAATAAAAAACTGCGTTTACCAATAGAGAATCTAATCTCGCAAATGCAAGATCCCATACAATTTATGCGAGATCATTAATGCGGGACTGCTAATGGTGGATCCCAGGGATATTCGGGACTGAAAGAAAATTGAATTCGAACGAACGTTGGGCGTAAACGTTGTACTTAGAGTTGCCAGATGGTCGGGATTCGTATGGATTCTCCCGACATTTTAAGTTATCTCCAGAACCTTGACAAAACTCAATATCTCCAGACAAAAAGCTTCTCGGAAAGTTAACGTACGGTAGTAATTATACTGAACTTTGGAAGTAAATTCTTTGAAATTTAAATCTTCTGAATACTACCGAAAGGATCCAAATTGGTGGACTCTTGTGAAGTCCAATAGCAAATACATGTGGCAATCTAAATATTAAATGTACTAAATTGTTTATTTAAAGTACTATTTTTCATATTTATTTTTCCCGACAACGGCCTCAAAATCCCGACATTTTCAAAATTTGTCCAGATATTTTGGTCTTCTGATCTGGCAAACCTAGTCGTACTAAATATATATTCGTCCCGGCCTCATTAATAGATGATTGAAATAACTTTCTCCGAGAAACTAATGATTTTTCCTCCCTTTACAGAGTTTGAGCCGATAAAATTATTGAATTCGTATGGAATATTGTTTTGTGTTTTAGTTTTCGACATGAGTTTTTTAGAGAACGATGTTGTTGTTGTACAATGTAAGTAAAAAATAAAAATAGCTAAAACAAATTTTATAGTATTTATTTCACAAATTGGACTTATAAATGGAATAATACAAAATATAACAATGTCATGTAGTAATAAATAATCTATAAAAATTACAGGTTTATTTTATAATCTATTTTCTATCATCCATACCACAATACAATACAAGTACAACATTAAAATAACCTCTAAGTATTTTAAGAAAATGTTTTAATGCATCGATAATTTGTAATTTAGTAATCGTTTTACAAACATCGCATAAATTAAAAAAAATTAAAGTCGTAAACAGTCTTATTATTAAGCTTCAATATAACTATATCAGCTAGCATAAACAACAATAATTGTCAAAATGTCTCCTTTTATAGTCCGCGTTGACATTCAGAAAAAGAGTTTTGGCGGGAACTTGACCAGCGGCGGTTTGCTGCTCCTGTATTATTGTTTAAATAATGGTTTGAAGTGGACTTTGATATGTAAAAGTGGTGTTATTTTGTGTATTAAGTGTCTGCGCATGTGAACTATTAGTGAAAACTGTGAAACATGTTCTCTGATGGTGATTTGATTCTCAAAATAAGGTGTCTGTCTGCTTAGGCGCCTTGAGATACCATCGCCAACCGTCAGCTGTCTGCTTGCTCAAGTTGCCGTCAAAATCTCCCAAGGGCTGCACAATGTGACGCATCAACATATTGTGAAGCAGTATACTATGAAGGATAATTATTATAATATATTGTAACTTCAGGCTCAGAAGGGCTAGATCCCTCGTAAAGCCAGTTATTAAGAAAAGAAACATTCAGAAAAAAGAGTCTTTAAGAGAGTGAACGTTTGGCGAAACTTCATACAAGCGTCTCGCTGCGAACGCTTGTAACACAAGGTCGAGTTTTTTTTTACTATAATTAGTCAGTGCTTCAATATTATCCCACCTGATGGTAAGTCGTGATGCAGGTCAAGGGTTTCATCTACGGTAACAACAGAAAAAATAACGCGACCTTTAGTACTTTGTAGCGACGCGGGCAACGACGCGGGAATAAACGCGATGTCCGCTTGTGTACATGTGTTGCGAACAGTGTATGAAGTTTCCGTACGCCTTCACTCCGACCATAATGAACTTAAGTAAATAATAGTTAATACTATTAATTTTAAAAAAATAAGATCAGTTAATATATGGTTGTACCCATTTATTGTTTGTTACAATATTTCTGTATTACCATATCATGTTCTCTTGCGATGAATGATGGCTCTACACAAATCTGCCAATCCTACATTTGCTAGCGTTGGATGGTTCGGCCAGGTTCGCCTCTAATTTGACGGTACTGGCGGTAAATTGGCACCACGTCGTTATAGTCGTACTGTTTTCTTTTGAAGTATAATTAAAATCTAGTTTTTTTTAATTATTATTATTATTTCGTGCAGCCTATACGCTGACATAATTTATAGTTTAAACAATTTCACTAGGGGTCGAGCGAACGTTCGGAGTTGAACGGTTGGCCGATCGTGTAGGGCCAGGCCAATATACTGGTCAGTAAAATAAAAAGAATACACATCGATCGGGGGGCACGGCAGTGCCCCCGCCAAGTCGAGCGCGAAGCAAACACTGCCGTACCATCCTTTACTGGAACCGTTTCGCCGCATTTTCAGGCCTCTATTTGAGAACCTCCGGATAAGACCAGAACGCAGAAATTTTCGTCATCCAGTAAGCTATAATCACATACTTAAAATTTAAAATTTCAAGTCTATAGGTCATTTAGTTCCGAAGTTAAGCGAAAGCAAAGTTTCGCATTTATGACACTCACTCACTCATGATCATCAGAATAGAACTAGTACTTCCAATAAACTCAGAGAGCTGAAATTTGGTACAGAGTTAGGGTTTAATGGTCACATAAAGGGAAAACTATAAAAACTAGGATAATCGAAGATCTGGAGTACCTGGGGACCCTGATTGGGAAACACAAGAGCCCAACCAAACTATTAGAAGAGATCGACATACCGCCTTTACAAAAAATATTCAACTTGGTGGGCCGCTTCATTTGATGTCAAAAATCGAAGTACTGAAGTATCCTCAGCAGATCTCAGATGTATTAGAGATATGGTAATGCCTCCTTCTACTATTGGTACATAAAAAAAAATACGTGTACAGAGAACAATTCCCAATCTGTGTGGCGTATGCCCTAACAATTCATAAGAGCCAAGGTCTAAGTCTAAAAATGCCCTCATGAACATTGGCACCTCCATATTCTCTTGTGGCCAAGCCTACGTGGCGCTTTCACGAGTAACCAATCTTCATGGGGTGCACCTCATAAATGTTGACTTCAAGAGTATAAAAGCTCAAGCTTCAGCGATCACCGAATACAACCGGCTTAGGCGTAAATACCGCGCCGATCTTTCAGAAATTAAACCGTATAAACCGTCTAAAAGAATAAATAATGAACGCGAACGGGCAATACGAAAAACTGTTGCTACTGTACAAGAATCAGAACCGGAAAAAAAGAAAAGAAAGATTTGTAATAATAAAAAAAAACTACTCCTAAAAAAATGTGTCAAATAAG